TTTCTTCTCCCAGAAATTCTCCCCTTAGCACTAGGAAGAAGATTATGAACTTACAGACTCTTCAAGGCTGAAGTTGTTACTTCAGTAAATCAAAGCCTACTTTGTTTCTGATTTTTTTTGTTTGTTTCTGATTCTTATAACCCCAAGGAAGAAGTAATTCTGAGATAAGATATCTAAAATTACTTTTTTAAAAAAAATACACATATACCATCAATTCATTCACAAGTGCTTATAGAGCACCCACTGTGTGCCAGCCAGGTATGGATATTTGAACTGTTTTTCAAGATTTTATTTTGTGAATGATTCAGAGCAAAATGTCACTAAAGCAGAGATTTTAATAACAGCCTGCCTACTAAGCACTAAATATGACAAAAAAATAGAACATAGGGAATTTAGCTTTAAGGTTAAATGCCTCAGAACTCAGTGACTTCCCAAGAGATTTTATAATTAGGAGGATATTTTTAGCTTATTTTTCATTTGGAAGATTTTATTATACTGCTCTTAATATATGTAATTTCACTTTAAGATATTCACTTTTTAAAAAGTTGCCTCCTTTCTCTGGTGCAGCAGAGTGTGAAGGTAACAGCTTCCACTTAGTGTCACATCAAACCCAAAGGATAGTGAAACCACACAAGCCATGGTGTGGTCTTCCCGGGGGTGCCAGGACCCAGCAGGTGGAGGGCATCCCTGCAGGGAGAGACTTGGGGCGGGGACAGCACTTAGAAAAGCCTAGAGCCAAGGAAAGGGTGGTGAGGACAAAGCCTCCAGAAGCATAGGCTGCTGCCCTTGAGAAGCAGGTGACAGCAGGCAGAGGTGGGCTGGGCCTCAGGTGATGAAGGGTTTGAAGTCAGACCTGCAGCTTAGAAAGGGAGAGAGAGACTAGGACCAAGGAGGGGGGATGCTGTGGGGACCCTGGAACCCCGAGAGCTCTCTGAGCCTTTGGCACACGGAATGACAATAGTAGGGAAGGAGGTGAGGCTGGTTCTCGAGCCTCCATACCCTCCTGGCTGGCTACTGTGTGGCCCCCTCCTCACAGCACACTGTGGCCTGGATGTGGGCCTAGGAGGGCTCAGCAGGCAGCAGCTCATCAAACAAAGGGGGACATAGACAGCCAGGGGTTCCTGATGCAGCCCCACTTCTCTGGTGATCCAGAAGGCAGAGTGAAGTGTCACAACCCATGAAATTTCACTTTTCAGTTGCCTGTCACCTCTTTCCTCTTCCTTCTCCCTGGGAAGCAAGCATTGAAGGGTGTTTCTTGCACCACTCAGTCTGGGAGCAGAACTGGTTAGGTTCCAGAGGTTCTCAGAGGCACAGCAATGTTGCCTCAGGAGGGTTCAACCTTGAGTCTCAGCCATACTTGTTTTAAAGGATATTTAGATGAGACTTTGATTTTATTTTTATTATTTTTAAAATGTATTTAGTACAGTGTCTACAAGGTTTCGCTACATAGATCAGACTCGTACTGATCCTCCTAATTTCAGCCTCCCAAGAGCTGAGATTACAGCCACAAATCACCAAGCCCAGTCTCAATCGCATCTCAGCATGCCCGGGGGGGTGGGGAGCAGCACAGCACCCTGGGCATCGAACCCCATCCCCACATCTGCCTAAGCAGATGCTTTAATTTGCTGAGCTGTCTGGCCAGCCCGAGACTTTGATTTTAGAGTTCATGCAGAAGGGGTAGAGACAGGGATTGGGGGGGCAGGGTAAGGGAGTTGGGGGTTAAGGATTCAACATGATGGAGGCAGAACACTGTGGTCTGAAGATTTGTGTTCCCTGAAATGCATGTTGAAATCCCAACCCCTAAAGTGATGGGAGGAGGTGGGGCCTTCAGGTTTTACTCATGAGGCTGGGGCCCTCATGAACCAGGTTAGTGCTTTTCCACAGACCATTGTGAGGGTGAACGAGAAGTCAGCAGCATTCAGCCCAAGAGGGCTCACCAGACCCAACCCCCGACCGCTTGCTTCCCACCTCCAGAGCTGTGAGCAGGGTCCTGTCCTCCCTAAGCCTTGGGGAGGGAGGTGTTCTAGCAGCCCAGGTGGGCACAGAGGAGGTTGCGGTGGAGAGCCCTGTGAATAGGTAGAGGAAGGGGTGGGGGAGGGTTGGAATCCAACGTAAGAGGATGGTGTCATTCAGACATCCTTGGGCTTTAAGCACTAGAAAGCAGGTCCTGGGGCCCAATTAGGGCTGAGGGGCTGTGGCTGCTGGGCCTGCAAGCAAAGCTGGGAGTGCAAAAGGAGGATGGGATGGTGGGTGACCCTCCTGTACCTTCCAAAGGTAACTCCCTCCTCAAATGCCCCTCTATTTGAACTTCCTCCTGTCACCCCTCCCATCACACTGGCTTTTCTCACACTGGTGAACAGATTAAAGCCAATCAGTTAGTAACTGAGCCCTGCCACCACCTCCACGGCCACTAGGAGGATCTGCCTGTAATCCTAGAATTCTGGGAGACTGAGGCAGGAGGACTTCTTTTTCCTTTGGTACCAGGAATCGAACTCAGGACCTTGCACATGCCAGGCAGGTGTTTGTGCCACCGAGCTGTATGCCTGGCCTGAGGCAGGATTTAAAAGTCAATTCCAACCTGGACAATTTAGAGACTTAGTGAGATCTGTCTCAAAAATTAAAAAACAAAAAACGGGGAGGGGTGCTGGAGTTGTAGCTCAGCACAAAGGCCTTGGTTCAGTGGGGTGCAGGGAGACAACCAAGCATGTGTTCATTTAAAGCACTGTGGATGGGCAGGATATGAGGGGGCGCAGAGGTAGTAGATGTCCCACTTGTCCTGGAGGAGCATGCTGCCCTCCGGGAAGGGACCGCGGGGAAGGAGCAGGATCCCGGGGAAGAGGGCGGTCGGCCGCGCTCCACTCCAGTTGCCTATTTTTCTCTCTCTGTGAGAGGACTGCAGGAGCTAACAAGAAGTTGCAGATTCCCAAAACAAAACGTGACCAGGCAGCGACTGCGCGTAGAGAATTAGGGCCACTTTGTTTCTCCTTCTGCGCCCACAAGCTATCCCAGTCCGCCAGCGTCTCCTCCGAGGCCAGAGGTGGCCCAGAAGCGCCTCCGCGGGGGTCCCGCTCCACTTTCGGGGTCCGGAAAAGGGTGCAAGGGGGCCTGTGAACCCAGCCTCTGCCTCGAACCGGAATGGCAGGGGCGCCGCGGGGACGTGTTCCCCAGGCCGGGCTTAGGCGCCGGAGCCGGTATGGCCCAGCAGCCGGCCGCTGGAGGCTA